CAAGCAGAAATACGTGTACAACATATTGAGAATCTATATTATAACCCAGTGATCGTTAGGATATCTAGGTTCCATAATTTTTGCTACAAGACAATGTTATTGAATGAAACTTTAAACAGAATTTCTGTAAGAAGAATAAGCTTAAGGATAAATAATCACTAAATTTACTGAACACAAAGCAATGCAGAATCAGTTTCAAATCTATTAAACACCAAAAGTAAGTGTTCAGCTAGTTTGATTACTAATATTTCCTACCGATGGACTTATTAGGCTTTATTCAGTCTAAGAAGTACATTATTTTATTAGTTCCTTTGAGCATTTCTTCATTCCTGGAGTTTAGAGAACTCCTCCAGGTGAGCTTGCCGCCCTGGCTCCTTGGTCCTACACTGCTTCCTCCCTGCCTCAGATGTCTTCCTTTTAGCTGGTGTCCTGAATTATTGGTTTGCTTCTTTTTCCTTTCTGGAATCAGCTTCCACATTCAAGCTGCACTATACAACTTTGTTCTATTTGTGATTTAAATCAGGTTGCTATGGCTTGAAGGCTACTTAATAATCTCTCAGGAAAACCTGACATTAATGAGGAAAAAAACTAGCCTTCTGGCAGAGTGAAACCAGGAGGAGTTTCCCCCAGAAATCCAAACAAACTCATTTTCTTGTGCTTTTCTTCCTCCTATTTCAGTTTCTCCATAGCCAAAAAGTCACCACTTCAATTCATCGCCACCCTGGGGCCACTGAAATTTTATACTGAGCACTGGATGTGGGCTCTATGATAGTCAAGACTCCATGTGACCTGAAGTATTTACCTTATTGTGAAAGAAGTTTCTTGCCTTTCCTTTTACTCAATTTAATCCTTGCGGTTAGGGTTTATGTAATGTGAACTTGGCTTAAAAATACCTCACTGTCATTCCCGGCTAGATTTTATACAAAGGAAATAACTGGACAAAGAATACTGGAGATATATATAAGATTGTTTATCGCAGTTTGTCTGTAACAATTATAACTAATCAGAAGATAATCATACAGTTTAGGACTAGGCAACCATTAAAGGAATAATGTATATCTGTATTTAAAGAAATGGAAAGATGTCTGCAATATATTTTAAGTTTAAAAAGAGGTTACAAATTAGTTAAAAGTTGAGATTTTACACCAATATGCTGATGATTGTTATCCTGAAGGATAAAATTTTACCCCCACAATGTTCAGAACTTACACTGTCCATATGTGGCTATAGTCATCCTTTAGTATCCATGAGAGATTAGTTCTAGCACCCCTGCGAATACCAAAATTCATGCATATTCAAGTCCTGCAGTTGGCCAGGCAGAACTAATAATATGAAAAGTCAGCCCTCCATCTAGGCCCTTCCACATCTGCAAATACTGTACTTTCCATTTGCATTTGGTTGAAAAAAATCAATTTATAAGTGGACCCTTGCAATTCAAGCCTGTGTTGCTCAAGGAGCAAATGCATTCCCTTTTATATTCAAATTAATTAAGAGTGAAATTTAAGGTTTCAATTCTGCACTTGCACTAGCCACATTTTGAGTGCTCAATAAATGCACATGTGTACTGTATTGAACAGCACAGATATAGAACACTGCAATTATGGTAGAAAGTTCTATTGGGTGGCATTATTTTAGATAATGCATATTTCTTCTTTGCTCTTTTTTGTTTTCTCTAACATTTTACAGTGGTTATAAATCTCTTTTATAATCAAAATAACAAATTATTTATACCTTGGGAGGAAGCATCTCTGCCTTCAAAATGAATTTAGACTGAAGGAAATTCATATCATGATTTACTTTATCTCATAAATACTTATCATAAATAGTACTCAATACTGATGTTATTTAAATTTCTTCATTCTAGCTATCTAAAAGGTCTGAATTGTTCAGTTATTCAACAGGTCCTTTACTGCACAGTCTCACTGAGAACATCTATTCAAGGAGAAGTAGAAAATTACTTACTTGGCAATTAATCTTTGGCTGTATTCCTTTTATATTTCTGTGCATTGAGGAATGGTAAGTAGAGTGGGGAGAATAGTATTAGAGCTATGTTTTAAATATTTTAGGAGATTTGTCAAATATCAAATTATATCAGAGGCTACAACATTGGAGGCCCATGGCCAGGCTGCTTTCTATTTATCTATCTATGATCTCATTTATTTTGATCTGCACACAAGGTATTTTAACTTTTCTTTTTTTTTTTTTTTTGAGACAGAGTCTCACTTTGTTGCCCAGGCTAGAGTGAGTGCCGTGGCATCAGCCTGGCTCACAGCAACCTCAATCTCCGGGGCTCAGCGATCCTACTGCCTCAGCCTCCTGAGTAGCTGGGACTACAGGCATGCGCCACCATGCCCGGCTAATTTTTTGTATATATATTTTTAGTTGGTCAATTAATTTATTTATTTCTATTTTTGGTAGAGACGGGGTCTCGCTCAGGCTGGTTTTGAACTCCTGACTGTGAGCAATCCGCCCGCCTCGGCCTCCCAAAGTGCTAGGATTACAGGCGTGAGCCACCACGCCCGGCCTATTTTAACTTTTTAAAAATAAATTTCCTTCATTTAAAATTCAGAAGATTTTTAACAATATACATTTTGCTTCTCTTAAAAAATCATATCTGATAATAATGGATCCAGATTTTTACAGGGAAGCCCTGGGGAATCTCAGAAGCAGGCTGGTCTTTCAGCTAAAGCATGAGCTTTTTTTCTTCATGTTCACTAGAACACTTCAAGGTGTTCTAGTGCCCACCATTCTTGATTGTCTCCTGTAACTTAGCATGCTGGTACATTTATGTCACCGGCCCTACTGTAGCCATCCTGGGTGAGTCTGTTCCCTATTTGAAGGGCAGTCAGCACATATTCTGATTGGATATGGGATTGTCTGGGGAACTGAACTATGTGATACAAGAGAAATCAGGTGCCAATAATCCTGTTCTATCAAATTTTGATTAATTAGTATTTCACTACCACTTCCACAAACTTCTGTCCGTATCGTGATTGGGTTTATGGACATTCATCATAGTGGTTCGTTACTACAGTCCATAGTTTATGCATATTAAAAGATATTAGTTAGACTTGTCATGCCCCAAATTGTCGTGAGTTAATTGTCAAACTATCCTTGATAATGCGACACACAATAAAGAGACTTTAATGTCAACGGATCAGTTTCTTACCCAGTTCTGTACTTTATTAAAACACATTAGTCAAAGTGGTCATTTACTCTTTTGCGGTTGCTGACCGGATGTCTATGGAACTATGTGAATCTTCTAAGACACATATGTGTCTAGAAGGGACTGAGACAAATATTCACATATGGCTAAGACGCTTTTGAAAGCCAATTCTAAAGGAGGCCAAATATTTTGTGTTATCAGTGTCAGTGAAATCAGGTGAATCCTCCAAAGCACTTACTCTAAAGGGCAACACTCGTGTTTTCTTGGATATTTGTTTTTGGTGGTTGCTGTTTATAGACTCTCCTATTCTTCTAAAGTTATAATTTATGGGGATATAGTTCAAATATATATATATATATATATATATATTTTTTTTTTTTTTTTTTTTAAGACAGAATCTCACTTTGTTGCTCAGGCTAGAGTGAGTGCCGTGGCGTCAGCCTAGCTCACAGCAACCTCAAACTCCTGGGCTCAAGTGATCCTACTGCCTCAGCTTCCCAAGTAGCTGGGACTACAGGCATGCACCACCATGCCCGGCTAATTTTTTGTATATATATATATATATATATTTTAGTTGGCCAATTAGTTTCTTTATATTTTTAGTAGAGGCAGGGGTCTCGCTCAGGCTGGTTTCGAACTCCTGACTTTGAGTGATCCACTCGCCTCCCAGAGTGCTAGGATTACAGGCTTGACCCACTGCGCCCGGTATAGTTCAAATATATTAAGGAGCACGGAACCTGTTGCATAAAACACATAGGTGAACAAAGAATATATCCCTAAGGTAAAAAAAAATCTACAAAAATATTTTAAGTTGGAACTGTGTAGAACATGTTGGATATTTTAGTTCTGTTTACTTTTGTTTCATGGTAATTGAAAAGCCCAAGCTGCTTTGTTTTATGTTCCTGTGGGCGTAATTCTACATTAACTGAAGATTAATTTCAGGTTACACTGTGTAAAGATGCCTTACAAATGCAATACTATTAGGGTGTGGGAACGCCTCAAAGGATTAAAAACTCCATCGTCCTGAGAGGAGCCTTTAATTAATATTATGGAGAATATTTATCTTTTTCAACAGCTAAACGTATGTCTTATTTTTTAATAGAGAAACCTAATCTTAATCTATTTTTTTGTGTGTATTTCAGAAAAAGCGAACCTGTATGATCATCCTTTTTTTCAGAAATGACCATGCATAGAGAGAAAGTAATTAGTGCAAAGCCCCAGCACGGGATGGTTAAGGAAGGACTTAGGTTTCCAGTTCCAGGCTTTTGTTTTCCTAACTTGGTAGGCTGTACCCCTGCTCTAAAATTGAACAAGGGAAAGGGAGACTGGCTATAAACTTCTAGAAGGAATGGCTTAAAAGAAAGTTTCTGGAGGAATCCTGAGGAAGCAGCCCCTGCAGCTTTGTTAGCTGATTGCACTAGCTAGTTTTGCTTCTCACTAACTCAGCCTGGCAGGCTCAAGGCATTAGCAGACGGCGTCGTCCCAAAGAGACAGGTGAAAGCATTCCAGTGGCACGAGTGGCGTGGGTCACGATCCAAGAGCAAAGGATCCGGAAGTCAGCTAACTGGAGAGAGCAAGATTGTGTTTTATGTGCGTGTCCCTCTGCTTTCCTCTCCTCTGTCCTAGCCATTGCCCTGAGGCAGAGCGCACGCCCCGGGCTCCAGGCTTTGGAATCTGGGTCCGCACTGCCCAGCTTACTAACTGTCCGCAGACACCGGGTAAGGGACTTGCAACAGGATCTGAACTCGCTTTAGCGTACTGTTGGGGCGCAGCGACCGCCCAGTTAGAGGAGCGCCAGCGCCCCGCGCCCCGGCCCTGGGCGGGGGTGCGGAGGATTTGTTCTCGGTGCAATCCTGCGGCGCTTTTCCGAGGTTCTGCGCGTGTCCAGCTCCCCACCTCTGCTTCTACACGCGAAGAAAAGAAAGCAACTCCCGATTGGAAGTTGTGGAATTTTCTCAGCCCCCGCCGAGGCGCAGAGATTCTGCCTCCCTGGCCCGCCTCCCGCCAGCTCGCCGGTCGTGCCAGGGACCGCAGCCCCTCGCCCGCAGCTGGGCCCGTCCGCCCCCTTTGCCCTCCCCTTTTCCCAGCGGATTTGGCGAACCCGATCAAGTCCAGGGAGCCTGTCCTCGCCGGGCCGTCTCTTGCGGAACTGGGGAGCGGAGAGCAAAGGGCGAGGATCGTGGAAGGGAAAGGAGGCAGGGGTGGTGCAAACGTGTCCAGCTCCGGGGGTCGCAGGGTGAGTGAGACCCGCATCCGCGGACCGTGGTGGGGACCCCCGAGGGGGCGCCGCGCTGGGTAGGTCCGACTGCGCGGGCTTCTAAGCCGGCAGGCAGCGGAGAGACCGTGGACGCTGTCCCTTGCTCCCTCGCCAGGGAAACTTCCCGTTCAGCCCTCTGACCTGCAGGACCACCGTCCCCGCAGCCTCCGCACCTGTTTCGTTTTCTCTGAGGGCGGGATTTGCCCCCTCCCCGCGCCCCCACCGCGGATCCTCCCGTCCTCACCCGCCCACCCGGTGGCTCGAGCGGCGCAGCGCCCCGGCGTGCTGGCCGGAGAGGTGGTGGCAGCGCGGGCCGCCAGCCGCCTAGGCGCTCCGGCTCCTCCCGGGGCTCGCGGGGCGCGGGCTGTCCCGGATTGCTGAGCGCACAGAACTGGACTTGCCTTTGGGTACCTTCCAGTGCCCTCTCTGGGTCGGCTGGCTAATAAGCATCGGACTGACCAGCTGTGCACGTCTTGCTTCCACGTCCCAGCAGAAACGCCAGGGCCAGGTCAGTACGCGTAATTCCTGATTCTGATTCTCTCTGGGAACAGGAATATCTCAACAGGAGCTCTCTCGGGTCCTTTGAAGGGGGCATGGAGGAGGTCCTCATGAGTGTAGGGACCCTGTCCCCCTACTTTAGGAGGAAGAGGGTTGGGGGTGATAACATCCTCATTTTCTACTTGTTCACTAGGTTCCTTTTTTTCCCCTGAAGATTATTGACTATTTCCTTGACCCTTCTTAGAGATAGATCAGTATCTTTTCAGAACAGCCAGTTGTTACTGTTCCTGCCTCTTTTTTAAAAAAAAAATCAAACACCCGTCTAAAGTGGAAGATGGTATTGGATTCTTCAAAGCTGTTAAAAGAATAAACACATTTATTTAAGCATTCACTCATGTTTTACCAGAAGGGTTCACCCACTGGTAGGAACATAGGGTGGATGAGAAAGAAGGCAAAACTAAAAGCTTTGAGATTGCAACAGAGACACAACATTTAAAACTCCATGACATGAAATAGACAATGCTGTTTTCAAAGAAAGGCCAGAAAAAGAGACTTCCCCTACCCGTTTTTTTCAACTTTCTACTTATTAGGCAAACAATCATGTCTTATATGTAGCATTCTTGAAAGTTCCCTGTCCTCCACTCCTAGCCCCTATAGGACTGACAAGTGTAGGCAAGTGTAGGGCTTATAGCACGATTTCTGAGATTTTTTACCTGGGAAAAAATTCCAGGAAGATGTTATACTAAGGCCAACCTGTGACAATATTGTTGCAAAAAGCCCCACAGTTTTAAATATATACTCAAAATATGAACTAGTCTTTGAACTCAGATAATTTGATATTATTTGAATCTGGGGGGGGAGAGTAAACATCTTGAACTCTTTTCCTATTCTATAAACACATATTTCTATTAGAAAATTCCTAAAGATTCACTTGTTCAAAAAACTGTACCATTCATAATTCTTGTTAAAATGTCCTAAGTAATGTAACTATCTCATTCAAGTAATATACATATCTTATTTCAAGGAAAGGATTTTCCCTTTTCTATGATTTACTTTGCTTTTGAGTTTTCAATGTGGCAACTTCCTTTATATACTCTTTTCCTCTTCCACTTTTCTAGAAGTGCTGTCATAAAAAATGATACATTTTCTACTGTGGGTAATGCTTTGACCTGGCCAAAGGCCAGTACTGTGCTTAAGAACAGCTAATAGTGTCCATATGCTAATAGCTTGTAGATCAATAACCATTCCAGCAGAGAAGTTTTAAATAAAAGGACTTGGAAATTTCAGAAGTAGGACTAGGAAAAAAAATAAGTCAATAAATCAAGTATACCTCATACTCCTCCTCCTAATATCCTTCAATATCATGCTTGCTTTCAATTGAGTCTGCTACTACCTCCAAACTCTGACATCTTGGAAGCTCGTTAATTCTGTTAGTGGTTTGTCAGGGAAGAGTAATTGTACTCTGTAAAAGCAGTTTCTTCTATAGTCTAAGGGAAATGGTACAGCCAATCAAATATACACTCCAAGATTTAAATGGTGCCTTTCAGTTTTTTTTCTAATTACTAAGGAAGGGAGGCAAATATGAAAAAAGGCTCAAGCTCCTTGGAACACTCTAGTTGAAATTTATGTGGTGGGAACTGGAACATAACAGTGTAGCAAATACTTCAGTGCATGGAAACTCCCATGCCCTTCTGTGTAGTAGGGCTCCTATGGAAGGAGGGTGGTGAGAAACAGAGAGGAGAGGAACAGAAAGGGAGAGAAAAGAAAAAAAACAAACAAACAGAGAAATGGAGAGAGGGGGGAGAGAGTTGGGAGAGAAGAAAGAGAAACCTTTAAGTTAAAAAGGTTTTTTTAATGGTATATATTAACAGGGTAAAATGTTATAATCAGGAATTAACTTCAAATAGTCGTACAGCAATTTTCTTCTATAATCAGTTATCTAATTAAGAACTATATATATATATATATTTAAAGAGCCAACAAATGGATGTTATGGATGTTATGTCATAGCAAGTAATCCTTATAGGCAGTTATCTCCAGTAAAGGCTCAAAATTACGCTACATATTTTGTTGACACCAGTTATTCAGTAAAAGTGTGCTTTCTTTTAGTTTCATATTTGTTTTGCCAAATGTTGGAGGAATAGGAAAGGCTGAGGTGTTGCTGGAATTGGGAGCAGTGATGTATGACAGAGGCAGAAGATATATATTGGAATGTCAGGAGAGATGAGGCCAGAAGGGTATGCAGGGATGAGTTCAAGAATAGCCTTGAAAGTCATACTAAGGAGTTGGGATTTTTTGTCTTTAGATCAGTGTTATCAACCTGTGAATGCAGATGTTTTACTGGGAGAGCTAATTAATGAGAGCATATATGCATACTATTATCAGTGTATGCAAAATAGAATCTATTCAAGAAGATAAAAGGGGAGGAATCTAATGCAGAGAATGGTTACACAAGTGATGGAAGCCAAACAAGGGATGTTGGGACTATCCAGTGATTATTAGCAAGGGCATGGGGGAAGTGATAGTGTAACCAAAGCCCAGGGGCCAGGGACAGCCACTGGAAACAGAATCACAGGGGTCTGTCCTTTGGAAACTAGAGTATGAAAATGCTGCTGAGCAGAGAGAGGGAGAAGACTATAGAGGCTTCTCCCTTCCTTTTGCCCTCTACCTACTTACCAGTGACTGTCATTGACCAAAACCAGCCAGAGCCCTGAAGACTTGGGAGCCTGAAAATGTAGTCTTTGAGGGTCAGCAGTCTCATGGTGTAGAGCAGGGCCGAGCAGGGGAAGGGTGAGGAATGGAGCTGGGGGTGCACAGGCCCAGCCCAGCGTTGTCTGTGGGCTGAATAAATGCGACTCACCTACCAATGCAGGCGGATGGTGTTATGGTTAGTATGATTAATAAAAAAATTCACTTGCAAGAGGTTCTGGATTAATGGCAGCAGAATTTTGTGATTATGAATATTTTCAAAAGGTACTACCACTATGATATTAGGCTCTGTTTGCTTTTATAGACTGAAAAAGGAACCTTATATTAGAAAACAATATATTAATATTAGATTGCTTTAGGCAATCTGGAGACATTGAAGAAAATAATATGATCATATTTGAATTTCAGAAAAAGTATTTTAATGTCAGAATAGGCTCTCTCTGCTAAAATGGAAGAGCCTTAGAGGTACAATCCTCTTCTTTTTTTGCCCAAAACAAATCCTAGTTCATGACATAAGTTTGTAAATGCTGGATGAATGCATGCTTGAGTAAATATAAGTACCAAGATGGTAAAGCCATGCCTGGCATCTAGTAGATGCACCATTATATCTGTTAAGTGAATGAATGAACAAATAAATGGAAGAAAAAGAAGAAGGGAGACAAGTTGGAAGACTGTTAGAGTTATTATGGTAAGAAATTAAGAAGAACAAAACCAATGTGTTAGAAATGATGAGAAGACAGAGGAGATGTGTAAGAGACCATTCTGTGGGGGCTAAAGGAGAGTTCGAGAAAGCATAGAAAGCTGTATATTAGTTAAGTTTATTTCAGATCATTCAAAAAGGCAACTATTCAGCACAAGCTACCTGTTTTTCATAGTAACCCCTGCATTAGAAAAAATGACTATGAAACAGAATCTGTTTATTTTAGATGTTTTACACTTCTCAAATTCAGGCACCAGGCAAATGGGTTTAATATTTGTTCCTTTCCTATACAATTTGATGTTGTATATTTATAAATTTAAAACGGTCAAGATATTGAGGGAAATTTTCCTTTTTCAATCTACTTGAAGAATAATTTGTTGAATTTATGGCAGTTATAAAATTGATAAAGTTTATAATATTCATCCCACTTGAATGTTTGGTAATATTCACATTGGAATTATTACACTTTACCATCGTAGTATACATTTCAAAGACCTGATTTGAGCCCCAACCAAAATTAAACCAGTCCATCTGTGATATGTCTTTGTTTCACATTTGTGATTTCCTTGTTCTTTTTTTTAAAATTGTAGATTCTTGTGCTAGTTGCAGGCCAAGTGGAACTGCACTGAAAATGGGCCCAGTGGGTGCAGAGGCTGATGAGAACCAGACAGTGGAAGAAGTGAAGGTGGAGCAATATGGACCAAGGCAAACCACTCCTAGAGGCGAACTGGTCCCTGACCCTGAGCCAGAGCTTATAGATAGCACCAAGCTGATCGAGGTACAGGTTGTCCTCATATTGGCCTATTGCTCCATCATCTTGCTTGGGGTAATTGGCAACTCCTTGGTGATCCATGTAGTGATTAAATTCAAGAGCATGCGCACGGTAACCAACTTTTTCATTGCCAATCTGGCCGTGGCGGATCTTTTGGTGAACACCCTGTGCCTGCCATTCACTCTTACCTACACCTTAATGGGGGAGTGGAAAATGGGTTCTGTCCTGTGCCACCTGGTGCCCTATGCCCAGGGCCTGGCGGTACAGGTGTCCACAATCACCTTGACAGTAATCGCCCTGGACCGGCATCGGTGCATCGTCTACCACCTGGAGAGCAAGATCTCCAAGCGAATCAGCTTCCTGATTATTGGCTTGGCCTGGGGCATCAGTGCCCTGCTGGCGAGTCCCCTGGCCATCTTCCGGGAGTATTCGCTCATTGAGATCATTCCGGACTTTGAGATTGTGGCCTGCACCGAGAAGTGGCCTGGTGAGGAGAAGAGCATGTACGGCACTGTCTACAGCCTCTCCTCCTTGTTGATTCTGTATGTTTTGCCTCTGGGCATCATATCTTTTTCCTACACTCGGATCTGGAACAAACTGAAGAACCACGTCAGCCCTGGAGCTGCCAACGACCACTACCATCAGCGAAGGCAGAAAACCACCAAAATGCTGGTGTGCGTGGTGGTGGTGTTTGCGGTGAGCTGGCTGCCTCTCCATGCCTTCCAGCTTGCGGTCGACATTGACAGTCAGGTGCTAGACCTGAAGGAGTACAAACTCATCTTCACGGTGTTCCACATCATCGCCATGTGCTCCACCTTCGCCAACCCCCTTCTGTATGGCTGGATGAACAGCAACTACAGAAAGGCCTTCCTGTCGGCCTTCCGCTGTGAGCAGCGCTTGGACGCCATTCACTCGGAGGTGTCGGTGACATTCAAGGCTAAAAAGAACCTGGAGGTCAAAAAGAGCAATGACCCCAATGACTCTTTCACAGAGGCTACCAATGTCTAGGGGAACTGGGGTGCGAAGGCACATGGATGAATTCTGACCAGAGCTGTAAATCTGGTTGATGAAAGCTCACAAGTGCATTTTGATTTCCCATTTTAAGGAAGAAAAAGCGCACCTGGGTGGAAACACCTACAGTTTAATTCCTGGAGAACTGGCCGGAGGCGCCTACATGAACACACTCATATTCAAGGATAGGGCAACAGAGGGGTTTGCTTGCAGTTGCTTGGTTAAATTATGGGTAAAAGCAGAGAGAAATACTTCTGGCTGTTTCCCAGAGCGAAGAAAACCTGAACAACGAATGGACACGCGCAGCATTTCTAAAAGGCGGCAGGTAAATAATTTGACTTTCAAGTCACTTTAGGACCTGGATTGGGGAGGCCGTGTAATTCACTGGTCCCCCCTCCTCTGGTGAAAAGGCTACTGAATACAAATGTCACTGGGGAGCCACAGGCTCTCCTTTATTGTATTTTGGTTTTATTGTTCTTCCTATGGACGAAATCCATCAGGGAACGCTGCAGGTAAATGTTGCCAACTATTCGAATGACTTCAAAGAAATAACCTGAAATTTGCTATATAATTAATATTTTGGCAAATGAAGGAAGTCGTTAACACTCAGTGAGCCAAGTGTTCTTAAAACCAAATGCATGTTTGATGAAAGTTTCTTCAACTCACAGGCTGAAATTTTCAGAATTGCAAGAAATGCAAACCATCATTTAATTTCATATTTCAAGTTACTCTTGCTGTATGGAGAGACTATTTATATAATAAAGAAGCCTACAACTTAATACTTTTAATCGTTGCTAATTGTTGTACCTTTTTGAACATGTATGGTTTCTGTTATTCCTGTTGGAGCTAAATTTGCACTAGAAGTTAAATCAGATTAGAAAATAATTTTTGTGGCATTTTGTAACATTTCATGGCTATTTATAAGCAATTTTTGCACAGGTCCATAGTTCTAATGTGTTTACAGGACACTACAGTGTTATTTTCTTTGAAATTAATCTTCTATGTACCCATTAATAATAAATAAAACAAATAATTTCATTAAAATGGACTAATCTGGTAAGAAATACTAAAGACATCAGATCCATTCTACCTTGCAAATGTTCTGTTTCAACCAATTTCACATAAGTTATTTGTCTTCTTTTCAACATAATTAGCTGTATTTTTGATAACTTATGAGAATATACATAATAAAATTATACCTATAAATAGTAGAACATAGACGCTAAATTATTTTTCATTTAATTATTTTATGAATATAATTTTTATTTCAATAATACCCAACCAAAGATGCTTAAAACTCTATTATATTCATGAAAAATAATTGAGATGTTAAAATAGTGGTATTTCTTTGGATGCTGTTAAAGAAATTTCATTGGAGTCATATTTTTGTAAATATGATAGAATTTGTGAATATATTTTTAAAATTTTAAATAAATTCAACATGGGTATTATATTTGGTTACAACATTAATATTGTGAACTGAAGAGCTTCATTTTACGGACATATTTAAATTTCATACTATATCTGTTATTGACTTCCTTCTATGCTAGAAATAAAAGATTGGTTTTTAAGCACACTGCAGTGTGCTTGGAATACTGTGTGTTTGTAATACTGAAAAAGAATGAAAACAATAGAAGGTTAGGTGGAAGACAGATTAAGAAGTCAACAAAAATTAATGTATATCTGTAACATATAGTTGAAGAATTCATTTTTCTTCTGGTTTCAGCATAACTGTCCAAAAAGAAGCTCTCTGTCTTGTAAATAGCAGATACTTTGCTTACGATGTTAACAGAAAATTGTGGTTAAAGGTGTTCCCCCAACTTGGAGAATTCTTACACTGTATATGCTACTGTATTAACTGTTGTACTAGATTATTAGAATCCAATTAATGATTCAGTTAACATATATCTGATCCAATTCATTATGTCAGTTCATTAATAAAATGTCTTTAATGTAGTGATTTTATTGTTGAAATAAACAAAATTGGGGAAATTAGAGAAATTGTGTGAAATTTTTACCAGAGTTCCTATCTAAGACGAGAGGGTAAGACTTCAATGCAACTGAAAAAGAAAAATACACCTCCACAGTTGAGCTTGCTCTCTCTACATTCTGCACCTGACCTGAGTCCATAGATCCACTCCTGTGGCTGCAGTAATAATCCATATTCTGAAGATGCTTGAACCTTCATTTTCACACCAGACCTTTCTTCTAAACTTCAAACCTGTATCTCTACTGGCTGACATAACATGTCACGTGGGTGTCTCACCAGTGTATCAAATCCAACTTGTCTCAAACAGAACCTGCCATTTCAATGCACACCTTGCCCCAACCCTCCTCTACGTTGTCTTCCTTATTCTCTGTCCCAATCATGATGGTATCATACACCCACCTCCCCAAAGCTTTATGCTTTGGAGTTGCCCTTGACTCTCCTGTCTCTTTATTCTACATATCCAATTAATTCCCACATCTTTTACTAATTCATAGTTATTTCTTGAATCATCCCCATCCCCATGGTCCAGGTGGTGGTTGTCTCCCCCAAATCCTCTTATCTCTCATCTGGATTAATGTAGTAGCTTTCTATTTGGTCTTTCTATATCTCATTCTCTTCCTATCCAATCCAACTTATAACAGCTAGCCAGAGTGATTTTTTTCATAAACTCAGATATTATCAGAAGCCACTCTTCTGAGCTTCAGTATCTCCTCATGATTCTTATGGTAAACTCACAGTGTTTTGGTGACATGGAAGGCTGCTTATTACCTGCCTGTGCCGATGTGTTTTATCCCAGGCAGATTCTCTTTTCCACCAATGTTTGATGCTAAAGTTTAAGCATGAGGGCAGCGACAGGGACTGTTTTAACCATTGTGGTATCACAGGCATTTGTTATTCTTCTCACCAAGTTAGAAGTTAGTACTCATCCTGGGAAAATCCTGGGACACGATAGAAAAACCTCTCCTCAAACTGAGAGGCAGCAGAGAGACCAAAGAATGACACAGACAAATCAAGCTACATGAGTTGGATGCGCATATTAGACGTTACTTACAAGGCCGCTTGCTCCTGGGTGGCATGGAAATTTCTTCTACAGGTGCTTTCTTGCATGCAAAATCTGCATCTGCTCCTCCTGTGGTGTTGCCTTAAATCCCTTCTCAATGAGTGATGCAGAGCTTTAATATTGCATCATTGCAGGCCCGGTACCATGATCATGCACAATTTTACAACCTATGTTATGTTAATGATATTAAAATTTCCCAGTAGGTGGGGATTTCAGTATTACAATTAGCTAAAGGGCACTACAGGGCACCCAAAGCAGTTATAAAGCAGTCAGGGCTGGTTTGAGCCAGCCCTTTCAGGCCGAGAAAGTGCTGAGACAGCCAAGAAAGTTCTGGGCTCCTTTCCCGGGCCTAGTAGTTATCTTGGTACATGCTTAATCTATTTTGTAACAACTTTGCTGAGTGCTACAGACTAGCACAATGTTTCTGTCCCATGGTGGGGAACATGCATTTTCTTCTCAGTACCCAATAAACATCCATCAAGGAAATTAAGTTTATGAAGTGAAGTAAATATATTAAATCCAAGATTTGATGATAGCTCTACAAGATGGTAAAACAATTTTTTCCCATTTCATCATACATCTTCTAGGAAAGTAAGGTTTTGGCTATACAGAAGTCTGGTAAATATACATATATGTTATGAATCAGATGGTTTTGTTTTGCTTTTTGAAGGCCATTAAAGGTAAATATTTGTGTAGTATAAAGGGCTCTACACATAGATTTCATTATGGCTCACACAAAATTATCTAGAACTTTTGTCACCAGGGAAGACAGAAGAGCCAGCCATGATTCAGATAGCAAGAGAAGCCATTGTAAATATTTCTGGCAGAAAGTTATTTAATATAGGCGATTAAAATCTTATAAAACCACTGGAATAGCTAGAGAACTGCAAGTTAGGAAAAATCTCATTAGCATTGAGGAAACTAGGAACTGCAAAATTGCAGGAAGCCACTACTAATGTCAACATTAAAATGGATGCTGCAAAGGAGAAAAAGCAGATTTATCTGTTAAAATATTACTGTGTGTGCTAAACTCACACTCCGGTCCACCTCCTTCATAGACCCAACAATGCCTTTTGCTTATCTTCTGTTTTCCAAAATTCAGGTAAGTACCTCTCATTTGTGGAATATAACTCAAGCCTTGCTAGCATGGATTTGGGGAAATGTGACTCTCAGGTTTCCAACCCCTAAAATATAGGGGATATATTTGCTCAGATGGTAAAATTACTAGTGTCAACCTCATCCTCTCCTTACTGGTACCTCTTTGAATTCTTCAGAGTTACAGCATGCAAGTTGACTATATCTTTTTTCCTTTTTCTCTTATCAAGGCCAATGTGTCAATCATACTCTTTAAAACTACCTCATTAATGAAGGTAGACAGAGGAGTGAAGTATAAATAAAGATCGTTTTATCTCTGATAGGTTAATTAGAATGGAGGAAGAAAGAATAAAACCTGTATAATTATGCGAAGACTTGAACAATTATCTAGAAACCACAGAAGAATCTAAATTCTGGATTAGTTTCCTAGTATGAGCAAAAGAAAATGATGATGTCTCAGGGAGAAAGTAGTCTTTAAAATTTTCAATTTGATAAGAGAGGAAATATTAATATACATGGCTATAAATGACAAAAAATGTATTTTTCCTTAAGAAAATGGAAAACTTAAAGAGACAACACAAAGATAGTGGAGAATACAAACAACTTCATGCTTATATGTCATGACATTAAACAAAGGTAAACATTTTATTAAACAAAGGATTACTAAGAATTGATTTGTAAGGATATATAAATGACATCTGTCTGTTAAACCAGCAGTTCCCAAACTTTTTGGCACCAGGGACTGGTTTCATGGAAGGCAATTGTTCCACAGACTGGGTGGGAGGAGGGTTGGTTTTGGGATGATTCAAAGGCATTACATTTATTGTGCACTTTATTTCTATTATTATTACATTGTCGCTTGCCAGTCACTGACCGGGTTTTTCTATGAGTCTGCAAGCAATTGATTTATTATGGTCTTCTCATAAGGAGCATAACCTAGATTCCTGGCATGCACAGTTAGAGTAGGGTTCATGTTCCTATGAGAATCTAATGCCAGGGCTCATCTGACAGGAGGCAGAGCTCAGGCACTGATGTGAGCGATGGGGAATGGCTATAAACATAGGGAAGCTTTGCTCTCAGCCTATCACTCACCTCCTCCTGTGTGATCCAGTTCCTAACAGGGGAATAGGAGTTTGGGGACTGCAGTGTGAAACCATTCATTTTTTTCTGCCTTGGTACACTGGACAGATGTCCGCAGACTCCCCAAGTTCTTGTGGATGTAGAAGAACTCATAGGAAGAACTGCCTGCAGTTTATGACAATTCACACCACATTATCTGTAACTCCAGCTTTTCCTCGCTGATTTGAAAATGTATAATTGAATGAAAGTAAGTGAAAATGCCTAACCCTGAGTCTACTCTCCTTTATAAACAAATATTTGGCAATTTTCAACACTTTAACAAATTACTTGCAAAACACCACATGACAGATCATGATAAAGGAGTGTGCTGTAACATTAAAATTAATGTGTGCTACATTATCTTCACAGGAAATAAATGAAAACAGCAATGAGTCAATAATATATATATTTTTATTTTTGCTCTGCTCATAGAAAAGCGATACAAATTGTCAAAAATTGAGAAGGTGCATGTATGTGTATACACACACATATTTAATTACAAACAAGACTATCTCCTTGTTGTACACTATCACCTAGTATCACATTTTCTGTGTATAGAACATCCAACCATCTAAAAATGGTGGTTAGTCTTTTTCCAAATGACATTCTCATTTCCATCACTGTCTTTATAGAAGTAACTACCGTGTTTCCCCGAAAATAAGACAGGGTCTTATATTTATTTTTCCTCAAGAAGACACCCTAAGGTGTATTTTCAGGGGATGTGTTATTTTCCCCTCAAAGCCTCAGCTTGCAGCACACACAGGATAGCGGGGACCTGACACGGGGAGCCGACCTTGTTGGTGGGGCTGCCTGTACCTTTCTGGTCACCTCTGAGATAGTAGCTGTCCCTATGGGGCAGATGAGAAGGGCTGCTCCTCTTCTTCACCGCTCCTCGATGGAATGCATGGGTTGTGCAGATAGACTGCGTAGCCATGCCCATCACTGATCTTATTTTCGGGGTAGGGCTTCTATTGCGCAAATGCTTAGAAATCCTGCTAGGGCTTATTTTATGGGTAGGTCTTATTTTCAGGGAAACATGGTATCACTGGGCTGTGGGTGGGGTGGGGTGGCGTAGGGTGGGGTAAAGAGGGAAGGGAATGCACTCTGGAATGTGAACAAAATATTTTGAATGTATGCAGTTGACAAAGCTCCTTGGTAAGTGTAGCCTATTTCCCCCAGTCAGCTGATGATAATCAAAGATGATAGATATCAAACTGGTGCTTATCATTTTAAACACTAACACATTTTAAAATAAATTATCCATTAGGATAGAATAAACTATGATCTGCATCTAAGGACTTGTAGGTCTATGGAGACTACCTACTCTGTAATCATTCTTGTTATCTGGTATAAGCAAATCAGAATCTTGTTTCCAGAATGCAGTTGAGGAGGGAGAAACAAGAAGATTCAAGCGACATACTTAGGGTTAGGACTGCTGAATGCATTATATATATTAAGTTGGAGCCAAATACCATCAGTCAAAATAGATCTGCAATTATATCTGGATCCCATCCGACTTGATCATATTGAGGGATGTAACAACAGGATTTAGGGAACAAACAAAATGTAATTTTATATTCACTAGAGTAATAAAAAGTTTCACAAAGAAGGATCATTTCTGCATTTTTGTTCTTGGAAAAATAATTTACTAGAAATAAAAACTTCCTACTGATTTACAAAGATAATCTCATTTAAACAATTGCTTCAATAGTTTTTGTCAAAGGTACATGAATGGACAGGCATGGTGTACTTCATGGTTTAAGACTTCAAAA